TTTTTTTTTTTTTTTTTTTTTTTTTTGTTTGTTTGTTTTTGTTTTTTAAATGTTTTTCTCCATCATATATCTACAGGCTAGAGTGGCTGTGACATTAACAGAGGTCTGAACACTAGCTTCTTAGAAAAAAAAAGTTGAGCATGCTCAGTAGACATTTTCATACTAGATTCTTGGTTAACATGTTGGGTGTTTGAGAATTTTTATGACCAGATTATTGATCTGTATTTACAATGAAAACACTACATTGCCTGTGGTTTTGGGAATGGAAATGCAGCTCCCATAATAAGCAGATACAGCATTGCACTGTCTTAAGTAAGATTTTGATATACGCTTATTGACAACTCTTTGCCTTCTAGTATCCTGGAATATCTGCTTGTTCGTATAGGGCTGCCATGCACAGCCCAGCACTGCAGGATGTAAGCTTGCCTACAGCCAGACAGGCAAAGAAGCTCTCTCTACCTTAGATGGCTTCACAGCCAAGGCTGTCAAGGAATGGCTGAAAAGTAATTGTTTTCAAGTGTGCCCTTTTACAATCATTTGTTTGCTCTGGCTCTTTCACGAACAAAGGCTATTGTTGAACACATCCAACTAAACAAATAACTCATCTTGGGGTCCCTTTAACAGCTGCCTTAGTACAATGATCTATTTACATATTACCCTAAAATTGAAACCGAACTCTTTAATGACATAATCCAGTGCTCTAGTACAGAAGAAGCATATGTTCAACCCAACAGCTGAACAATCTCGTAGGCATATGATTTTTAGCCATAAATGCTTCTCTACCAAATACAGCTTATTTCACCATTGCTTTCTGCTAACAACAAAATGACACTGCCTTCCTCAAACTAGGTATGACAGGGTATACGAAACACAGGGCTATACTCAATGTAAAGAATTTCTGTCTGTAGTGGTGTCTTCTTCCGTTCCTTCTTCTTTGCACTCTTCTTTCTGTTGATAAACCAATTTTGCATGCTATGCTTTCCTGTGCATTCCAGGATTTATCTTACCTTTAGTCTACCCATTTTACTTTCATGTGGCTAGAGATTAAAGGATGATCTTACAGATGTTGTAAATTAGTCAGCAGCAGGCATAATCATTATTAGGCATGTTGCAATAAATGTTTGGAAGTTTTACATATTTTCCAGAGCATAGTTAGTTTAAACCACTGCAGTCTGAAGGTTTCACATATGACTTTAAAAACTGAAGCAGGAAATTAGTTTACATTTCTTCAAAAGACCAAAGCCATTGTCAACTTTAAGGTCATTTTGTAAGTAGAGGTCCAACAGAAAGTGCCTTATTCAAATAAGTATTTCAGCTTTTGCTTAAAACTGCTTTAATATTCTTGAGGGTAAACAGATTATCAATTACTGAGGTTCAGGACAGAATGGGTGCCCCATCTCCCACCCAGTATAGAGTTATACATCAGACCTCACACAGAGCAAATATTAACACCCCCGTTTGCTGGAGCATTCTGAATGTTAAATAACATTATACTTGATTTTCAGATAATTGATTGACTCTCATTCCTTAATCTTCCGATTAGCTATTATATGACCAAGACTCATTCCAGAAACGACATGAGGGGGTGAATTCCTGTGGTTAATTCCTGGATAGCAGCTGCTCAGGAGGATTAGGATCCTTTTGTCTTAACTTTGACGCCTGAAATGTTGGCAAGCATTTCTTTGGCTGTATCACCAGGCAACGTCAATTATGTTTTCCACAAGAAACAGTAAATTAGCATTGCTATCCTGTCATTTTTTTTTTTTTTTCCCCGGGTCAAAATGCACTCTGGAGTCCTCCAGTAGACATACAGTGTTATGTGTGCATCACTGTGGAATTAGTTCAATAAACATGCTGAATATTTACCTAGTAATACCTAGTGTTTACTTGTACTTCTAAACATACCACCACACTGCTACCACAAGAAGGC